TTAGTTGAAGCTGGCCAGTAATGTGGAGGACAACAAAAAGGACTTTTTAAAATACCCCACCTAATTAGAATAATTGAATCATAGAATATCCTGAGTTGGAAGGGACACACAAGATCATCAAGTCCAACTCCTGGCTCCACACAGAACCACCCAAAACTCAAATGCGCTGAGGGTTATCCAAAAGCTCCTCGAACTCTGGCAGCTTGGGGCTGCAACCACTGCCTTGGGCAGTCTGTTCCAGGGCCTGACCACCTCTGGTGCAGAACTTGTTCCTACCACCCACCCCTCCCCTGACACAGCTCCATGCCCTTCCCTTGGAACACTGTCACAGGGAGCGGAGCTCAGCGCTGCCCCTCCGCTCCCTGTGAGGGGCTGCATCTGCCATGAGGGCTCCGCTCAGCCCCTCTGCTCTGAGCTGTGCAAACCAAGGGACCTCGCCACTTCTCATATAGCTTGCCCTCTAGACTCTTCTCCGTCTTCATACCTATAACTAGATGGGTATCTTTATCATAAAAGGAGACTAAGATAATTAAAGTTAGTTGACCATAGGAAGCCAGCTGATGTAATCCTGTAGGATTTCAGCAAAGCTTTTGATACTATTTCTCATGGTATCCTTCTGGACAAAATGTCCAGCTTACAGCCAGGCAAAAACATAATGTGATAGGTAAATAATAGGCATTTAGTAGAGAGTGACTAATACTGGTGTACAAAGGCAGCACTAAGATCTTGTTTATCAGCTGTCCCATATGCCAATAACGTCATCATTCTTCATGCAATATTTGACTGATTACAATTTGAGGTCATCAATGCAAACAAAAAATCAACAATGTAAAATGACCTCAGATTAACATTACATGTCAGCAGGTGTACAAAGTCCAAATACGCTAATACATCTAAAGTGAGCCTTACAGGATTCCTTTGCACTTAAAGCTTTGCAAGCATCAGCATAAATACTGAACAGAACATAAAATATGGATTCAGACCCTTTTCTCCCCACATTTGATCTTTACCTGCTATTAGACAGAAGGAGTTTGAATTTGGAGGCTGAGTGATCTCTTGACAGCTGATTTGCTTCAATTTTGTTCTCGATCACAAACAGCAGAACTGTTTTCCAACTCAGGAGAAGTGGGAGACCAGGCTGTAATAATGGGCCAACTTGAAATCAATAAGTGATATCCTGTCTTTTGTTTGTTTGTTTGTTTTCCTGTTTGTCTTCCACCATCCTATTTATCTCTGCTTGGACATAGTATCCAGGATTGAGATTCAAATGCATTAAAGGAATGCTTAAAGGAAACAAACAAACAAACAGAACAAAAACCCCAACAACACTGCAATTGCACAAATAATACAGACCATAATCTGTATGGTACAGACTAAAGTTATTTAAACAACAATAACAGAAAAGATGACTAACCATTAACAAGCAGCTGTGCTTTGAATTCAGTGTAGTTAATGAGCAGCATAATATCCAATAACAACCTACTGCCCAATATTGGTACATTTTCACATTTCTTGGAAATCTAGGCTCTGTGAAATTCAGTCAGTAAGAATTAGGACATCACCTCAGAACAGTGAATTTACTAGCTATCATTCAAGAAGCAAGGCTATGTTGTGCAAAGTTTATCTTCCTGTGAAAACAATGTAATGGACTTGTGCTTCGTGTGAAACACTGAAAATACTCAAAGTTGGCAGTTCCTTTTGGTTTTGGGTAGTTCAGTCTTATTAGGAATAGGTTAAAAGGTGAAAGATTTCAGTGTTCACTAATTTACTCTGCCAAAAAATGCTCTCTAAATTTAGCCTATGCAGATATAATTGTTACCAAATAACACTTTTTACTATATTTATATAATATCCCCAACTATATTTATGTTGGGGATATGAGTTTGACAAAAACTGAGTTACATTTTCTGTAGGCCAAAAAGGAAAAAGAAAAAAAAAAAAAAAAGTGCAAGCAACTGTGAATTTAAATTTAAAAATTGGGATAGATAATTCTATAAATCTCAAAACAACTCTTCATTTTATAACTTTAACACAAAGATTTCTAGTGCTTAATATATCCTACCAAATGGTACAGATCTGTATTTTATGAAAATGTATCTTTGCAGCAGTGTATGATGTTTGTGGTATTTAAATTTGAGATAAAATAATTGGCCTACATTTGGGGCTTCTGTTACTAACAATGATAATGGAATCCTGCTTTTCTGTTTTGTTTTTTTTTATAATTATTCTTTCCCAGCAGCATGAGACACATTTGACTATTTTAGTACAATGTGCATTAAAACAAGCATCTTCAAAGGTAAGAGTCAAACACTGCTCAGGTTTGCCACAATAATTACATAGCACTTCATAATACTTGATACTTGTAAGGCCCTTAGCTATCATATGAGTAAAGAGGCATATACTCTGCGCTTGATCTGTATTTGAAATTACTTTTATTCCTGCTAGGGAGCAGGAATTGTTCTTTGGTTGGTTTCAGCAAAAAGACAGTTTTTTACAGACAAAAGGACAGCAGTGTCATGTTTTTTTCCTCCTTATACAATAGATCAGCAACCAAAACAAGTTCTCATGACAACTATCACTATTTCATGAAAATCTGATTTTCCCAAATCTTTCTGTGATTTGGGAAGACCTGAGAAAGCTTTTTCCTCTCTCCACATACTTTGGCATTGTGCTGGGATAATACAGGACATTCAGACTTGCTGAGCACCTTTAGTATCTTGAGGTCCTTTCTGAGGTCTAGAAAGAATATTCTCTTTCTAGGTTTTCTCATTAGAGAACTGACATTGAGTTGTTTATGGATAGGTCCAGCATAGAAGTTATACTTCAAAGAAGAGACTGAAAATTCGATTTACATTTTCTAACACGCCTAAACATCAAATTCCAATATGATTAGTTAGGTCCTTGGAAGTCAAGATTCTGATAAGCAAAACATGCTTTTGGCTGTGTTAAGAACAATCTGTTCTCCTCTCTTCTTTTTTGTCAGGAAAAGATCAATCTAATCAGTATTTACTAAAAAATACTGTCTTCCCCTCAGAGAGAAACAGTGTTGTGATATTAAAACCATAATGACTTTAACATGGCTTTAAAATGGGTGTAGTCCATATCCAGCTTTATACCCTTAGTTAACTACCTAAATACGCATCTGTACTTCAAATGCAAGCATTACAATGTCTAGTCATCCCAAACCTGAGCTTAACTGAGTCACCATTTGGCGGTAACTGTAGCTTAATTGATTGATTGCTTTTGTTTAGGTGATGTCTTGAGGAAACCCTCTGCAACTTACAGGTGAATATATTCCTGACCACTGTATTGCATCCAGCAACTCACAGGTGTGCACTGGTATCACAAGTATTGCAGTCAAGCATTAAATCAGCTCCACAGACAATAGAGTTATAAAATCATATGTAGAATATTAACATTGCTGTTGTGCTGTCCAAATGTTACTTTTTCGCTGCTGTTTGCAGAGCTTTGTATGCTTGCTTGTGTTAGGACTAGCTGTGCTGCTGGGAGTTACCACAGTACCTAGGAAACAAGGAAAAAGCTACTGCAGCTACTGTGAACACAACTTGGTGTGACTATTAGCGTGTTTTTAACAGGAGCATGAAACAAAGCCCCAAAATGCATTACATGCATTTTTAGCATTGTAGTGTTTAAATTTGTGCATGAAGAAATTGGGTCAGTTTGGTTAAGGTCCATAGTTAAGGCCCATTCCAGTATTTAACACCTGTGACCGCTTCATCTGTTCATCTTCAGCATTTAAAGCACCTGCAAAGGATTTCTGGAGGAAGTGGGGCAGGAAATCCCAAAGCAATCACAGTCCCTGTTTTCTAGTTCAGAACTAAGATTAGGCTTTAGAAAAACTCAAGCCTTCTGCTGCTGGTGTCAACATTCACACAAAACTTGCTTCTTTGTGTAACCACACAAAATTTCTGTATGCATGCGTTGGCCTTCAGGATCTTTTGGTTGCTAACTTAGAAGCATCTGTTTCCCCATACAAATACAGACATAGGGAGTACGTACGCTGGAATTCCTCCTACAACGTTTTGCTACCATGAGCACAGCCACGAGGCTAGATTTCTATCACACCTTCAGCAGGCAGTCAGCGAGGCACACAGAAACTGCTTTAGCGGGGGGCTGACGACTTCCAGAAGCCCCTTCCAGCCCTTGCAGTTCTACGATTCTGTGACGCTAACGAGCACAACCAGCGAAAGCTTTCCCTCCCAGACCTGGCAGCGGGAGAGAATCCCGAGCTCGCAGCGCGCAGCGCTCATCCCGCGAGGCGCCCAATGGAGCACAGCAGCTCAGAACCGCTAAGGCGGCACGTGAAGGCGCAGCGCCCTTCCAACGCGACCCTCCAGCCCGCGGTATCCTTCCGCCCGCCCCATGATGCCACGCGCGCCCCGCCTCTCCGCCCGTTTAACTGACAGCTTTTAAACCAACGTTTCGACAACCGCGGAAACAGCTGCAGCAAAATAGCGAGCCCAGCCCGCCACCGCCTTCTACGAGAGAGGCGAGTTCCCAGAGGAGCCCCTACAGCAGTCGGGTCGGACCCGCAAGGGGCCGTGTAGCCAGCGTGGGCGGCGTTGCTGTAGCCGTCACTGCGGTGGCTCCCGCCGCGCCGCGCGGGTTGCGCGCGCAGCCGCCGCCCTGTGGCGCGGGGCGGGCGGTGGGCGGGGTGGCCGGACGCTCATTTCCTCCTTGGGCGCCATTTTGTAGCGCAGAGAATCCGCAAATAAAG